CAATAAGAGGAGGAGGGGGGGGGTAAAAATAAGGGGCGATCAATATATGTGATTGGAGGGATACCAAAGAATTCAAGCGTTGCTCTCAAACGATAATAATATCTAAATATGATTTTTTAGCATTTTTTTGAAATAAGTAGAGTAAATAAATTGGCGAGGCATTCAAAGTAAAAAAAAATCCATACGATACCGGAGGTTAAGCTAGCCCTCAATGGCTGTTCTATCAGATATGTATTTTTCTCGTTCTGCATCCCCCCTCTCTAGGTTTGTTTTACTGAGGAAGAGAAGATTAAATACCACATCCATTATTAATTGTAGATATACTAATAAAAGGTAAAAACATTTTACTGCTAATCTTATTTTTGCCCTTCCTCATAAAGTCAAACACACACTGTATGAGTTAAAAATAAATACAATAGCAGCGACAGAGTCCTTGGAAGGTTAATAGTCTGGGGGAAGATAATGTAGATGACAGAAAAAGGGATTACTTATGCTACGCAATTCGGTAATTTAATGAAGTAGTAGAAGGATGATAAAACTAATATTAATCTATCGATACATATATATATATATATATATATATATACTTGTCTGGATGATTACTATAAGAATCTAAACTTTATCCTTCAACAGTACAAAGTTTCACAATATATCCCTACTGTATTTTTTTTTATCAATGGCTTTACCAAGACTATTTAGTCATCAAGCAAACACGAAGCAACCTCGAGTTTAAAAAAGTGCACGAATCAAATCTAGTATTCAATCAATTCATATAAATATATATAAATAAATATATATATATATTCATATATGAAAAGGTATGATTAATGGAAAAACCACGATATGTCTTATGGTAAGGTATCAAAAAAAAGAGAAAAATCTCGTATTTTTGCTCCTTCTAATAATGGAATCATTCATCATATTCATTTCAACTGTGTGCTTTGTAATCCTCCATGAGGAGTCCCCTAACCTTCTCACATCGTTTTTTTCATATGTAAACTCCAAAAAGAGGTGTAGGATGAAAATGGGCTTTACAATGCGTTTCAAATAAATAAATAAATAAAAACAAAAAGAAACACGGCACAGATGAGAAGTACTGTGATCCTTTCGATTGCCTGATGCAATAATGACAATAAAAATTCAGGTCTGATCTCGATTTCACAAAAGAAAGAAAAAAGCCTAATTAAGGAGAAGATAAATGAGAGAAGAGCTCAAAACAATGGAGAGACATAAATATTTTCGCGCAGAACTCATTTTGTTAACTACAGTTGTATCTCTATCACCTGAGCTCGCAAGGTTGATACTTTTTACCCTTTTAAAATTTAAGCATCCATTTTACGCTTTATATTATTAACTTTAACCATATACCTTCCTATGCTTCGCACGTACTTGTTGAAGAAGGTTTGACATGGTATTATGTCTTTGCTTGACCTTATCGTATTTCTCCCACAAAGCAGGTATTTCATCGCCATCCTTCTTGATTTGTTCTAGCCATCCTGGCTTCTTGCTATCGTGGATCATGGCCTTTGCAATATCCACTTGATTCAGACGATCAGTGACAGATTGCTTGATTTCATCCAGCTGTGTCCTCGCCTTGCTCACTGCAGCCTGCATTTCTTCGTTGTCCCTCTTGAGAATCTCGTTGACGTTTAGTTTTTTGCATTTTTCATCATAGATAGGTGTGGCTTCGGATATCTGGTTCAACACAATTGGTCTCCCGCGTTCCAGATCTGTAATCTTGGCCATCAGGCTGATTGCTTGTTTTTCCAGATTCTTAAGGCGCCGTTTAGCATCTTCCTCCTTTGCAGTGGTATCATCGCGCAGTTTCTTGAGCTTTGTGACGTTGTCATTGCCCTGCAAGTCCTGTAACTTTTGGTAGTGCTTCTTTCGCGATAGTAGCCTATTGGCATACAACAAGCGGTAAAGCCCACGACCCACGACAAGGGTAGCACGCTCCTTATTCAGCTTCTCAATGAGTTGGTTGTTCTTCACCATTGTCCTTTTTAACCCGTTTGTCTCATGTTCAATGCGTTCTGCCTTTTCTTGCTTCTCACGCAGGGTTTGCCGGAGGCAGTCTAGGTTATTGCGCTGGGTCTGCACGGCATTGCCAAGCACGTCGACGTGGTTGGCCATGCCGCTCTGAACCATTGTCTGGGCGTTCATCTTGACGAGGGTCACGAGATTGCGCGCTTTGCTGCTCCACTGCAGCGTCGCGAGGGTGTCGCCGTAGTTTTTTACTAAAGGGCTGACGGTGGCCACCATCGTCGTCCGTGCGTTGCCGCCGATGCTATCGCTTAGCAGCCACGTGAGCACGCTATCACGGAAGGGCACCTGGGGGAGAATGCGCTCTTGGAAGTACCCCCCGGTGATCTCCACCTTTGCTTGCTCGATGAGGATGTTCTGCCGCTCCGTGAGGTTGTCGATCACACGGCGGAGGGCCAACAAGGAGGTGTTGATGGCGGCCGACTCCTTCACATAGTCTTGGAAACCCCCGCGCTCGGAGCCAGCGAGGTCGACGAGGTTGATCCGACCCGCCCGGGTTATCGTCGTAGGCTTCGAGTAGCGGTCCTTGGGTGGTTTGATTTGCTCCTGTACTAGAGTAAGTTGGAAGATAGCATGACTTCGGCTGGACTGGTTGTGCACCGCAGTCGCGCACGTCGTGCGGTGCTGCGACCCGCGCTCAAGAAGGGTGCAGCAGTGAGCCCAGTTCTCGACCTGGTACTTCGTGACGCCCTCGATAAAGGGGCCACTATAGGGGTCCTGACGGATCCTCGCGTCCTGTAGCTTTTCATTACCCTTCGAGTTACGCAATGAGGGATCAAGTAAATCCCGAACGCGTTCCATATATATCTCAATAAAAGTGACCTCCACACGATACCGACAGCGATTGGACGATGGCTTCTCCATCTCCAACTCCTTGCGCTCGTTCAATAGAATAAAAAGATCGTTCGAAACGCGTGGGATAATTCCCTCCTGGCCATCACCACCACAAGATACATTCGGGTTGTAGATCCCCATCATTGTGTATGTCTTCCCGCTACCCGTCTGGCCGTAGCTCAGGATGCAGCTGTTGAAGCCATTAAAGACATGCGGAACGAGGTCCTTGGCGATGTACTGATAGACATCTTTCTGAGTCGCGTAGCTCTTGCGACGGGTGTCTTGAAAAGTATAGACCAAGTTATGCGAAGGCGGGATGGACCAGAGGGAGGCATCAAACTCGAACTGCGCCTTCGGTGACCAGTTGTCTTTTGGATCGAGCAGCACCGTCTTGTCGTCGATCATTTCCACAATGGAACGCCGTTCCTGGCCCTGCATCTCTTCCAGCTCCTCTGATATAAAGGGCCGGACACGCGAGACGACGCGGAAGGAGGTAATCTCAGCAATGCGCGTCTGGAAGGCTTCAGTGCCCTCGACCGCATCTTCGGTGGTGAGGTTCCGATCGGTTGTTTGCGGACGCGTTTTAGGGAGAAGATGGTTGGGGTCTTTATGGATACTTTCTTTTTTAGGTGTGTGTTTTCTCCCATTTTTTGGAGGGCTTGCATTTCCGTTAACCCATTCTGGACGTGGTTTGCGTTTGGGCCTTTGAATGAGCTTTGGCTCTGTGCTTGTGCTTTGAGTTTCGGAATTCATAACTTTCACCTATCCAGGTAATGATTGTCTATCCTGTTTATTTGAATTTTTTTCTTATAATGTTAGTCACCTTTCAGATCAAATTCTCTTGTATAATATATATTTTTTGTTAAACGATGAGCGAATAGATTATGTAACTTAATCCACAGCCTCGTTTAAAATGGAATAAACAAAAAGAATCAATATATTTTTGATGCAGTCATGCGTTATCGAAAGGTATAAAGACATGCAATAACAAAAAGATATTTCTTCTTTATCACCATCAAGACACATCAAGTGGATCTGTATTTTAGCATCTAGTGTCTTTCTACACCGAATCACACATCAGAACAACAAAAAAGAAAACTACTACAACATCAACATGTTCAAGGGTGTTTTACTTAATGACATGATATTGTGTAAGCGCGCCTCCTCTAGATCATCAAAAATGAGCTTTTTAGAGAAGTGCTTCTTATTTCATTGTTTAATCTACATTTGTTATTTGAAATACTGTGAAACCCATGTAAGTGCGTCTGTGACAGGCAACAATGGTAGTTGCGATTTACTACCTCAATTCTTTACATCTAAAGAAAGATAAAATAAAAATAATAAAAAAAGACATCGCCATCCCTCCGATCCTCTACACACGAAGGCTCTAGGGCCAATCTGCCTTTGGATACCGTTTCATAGGTTACTGTCTAACCTTTCCTTTAACGGTAGTCGACATCGGCTTCACAGGCGTTACCTCTGTGCTCGTGTCAACAGTGATCAGTTCGCTATGCTGAATTGTGACAATGTCATCCACACGGTGCTTGCGGACAACACCCAGAAGTGGTAGTCTCGCCCCACATTCAATAGCCCTGAAGAACTGCTGCTCGAATTCCTTGATGCGAGCGGGCTGTTCGGCCTTCAAGCGTTTCTTGAAAATATCGATTAGCACGACTCCTTCTGCGTTTAATAAGATCTCACGCAAATCAAAGCTGTCTTCGTTGTCTCCCGATGGGAGGAGATGGTCATATAGGGAGGTCGGAATGGAAAAGAGATTACCGGAGAGGTACTTTCCACAATTGCCCGAAGTGTCAGGATTCGCTGCCGCTGCCGAGGCCGCTGTTTTCTTCCAGGAGCGTGAGGATTGCCCCTGATGGTTGGCACCGGCACTGCCCGCTTTGGCTGTCGCAGTGGGCTCAATGGTCGGTCGCTGTAGTTGGTGCAGTTCCTCCCTTATATACCAATTAATACGGCCAAGATCAATTTGCTCCACCAGCGCCTCGGAAGCGCGATGCAGCAGTTCATGAAGGGAATCCTGCTCATCCCGAGAGACCCGCGCCGCACGAAGGAGAACCATCGTACAATCGTAGAAAATATTCCTCGAGGGCGCATCGCGGATGCGCGCGATCTCATGCAGCAACACCGCAAGCGAGCCGCCAGTGCTCTCCCATGATGTTATTCCCTCACCATCGAAGAGTTGTTTCTGCAGGACGGATGAATCGGGCGACGGCCCCGCCGTGAACCTCGGGATACCCTCATCCTCCCCTTCTGCTTTATCATCCTTGTTTTCGTCCATCACAGACTCTGGGATGCGATGATTCAGCTCAGCAAGCGTGTTCTGCAGATTTTCCCAAACCAGACCCAGCATATCGAACACCGCCTTGTTGTATTGTATGCTGTCAAACGTCAGTCCATTGTGCCGTTCCCAGTTTTCACGTTGACGCTGAAGGCGGGCCTTCTCGTCAGCCGCCTTTCGATCCTTTTCACAACGCAGGGTGAAGATGGTGTCCTCGAGATCCGCTTCCTCATAAGGTTCACATTTGCGCACGATTTGCTGGACGATATGGCGCTGACTATCGACAACGATCTTTGCCTCCAGCGCCGAAGCTACCGGGCGAGCCAGGTATTCCGCCTGCAGTTCCACCCCACCGTTCACCAATGCGGTTATCTGTACAAGAATTCGGTTCGGATCGAAGGAAGGAACAGTAAGGAATTCGTAGGTCTGCTGGGCGCGGCCAGGCCGAGGAATGCGCACCGAGAAGGTAAATATGGCAGACTCGCCAGGAAGGATGACACCGTCCGGTGGGTTCGACAAAAAGAAATTTTGCTGTGCGTTTGTTGATCGCTTTGTGAAGGTGTGCAACATACGCCAGTTATGAAGTTCCTCTGCTATTTCATCTGAACCCTCATCGGACCCTTTTTTTTGTACCCCGGCCTTTCCTTTGGCGTCCAACGTCTGCTTTGTATCCTCCGCGGTGATATTTTCCATCAACAGATCCGCAACCACCCAGCTGTAAAAGAACGTCACGGTGCTGGGGTTCGTAATCGTGATGTGGCCATATGCAAGTTCATTAGGGCGCGCCATTATCAGCACCCGCTTCGTCGAGATCTCCAACATGATATTACGATTACTCGATCCCGTTTTCCCGGCCAAAGTCTCACTTTCCATCTTGGACGGGGAGGCCAAGACCTCACTTTGGGGCGTGCGTTCCGGAAGCTTTCTAGGGGTCGAGGTTGAAGGAGCTGTGGCGGCACTCACTGATTTAGCGTTGTTATCCTTTGACCTCACTAAGCTAGTGGAGACAGACTTTGAGCCTTGTAAATTGGAATTTGGAGTCCCCAGACGGAGCCGTTGGGGCGGGGGAAAGTATTGCACCGGTTCCTCGTTTGTTTCAATGCCTCTCGCGTATATAAACTCTGTGGCATCTACCCTCACGACTGGAGCAGGGGTTGCTTCGACCTTCATAAAACATCTCGGCTGGAAAAAGTGCTCAAAACGCTTTTGAATGGTGCTCTTGTGAGTTTGCAAAAGCTTGTGGTAGGTCTTGGCCCCTGACATGTTGGATTCAATGAAGAGGAGGGGATCTATTTCACCCGAGTTACCACCACCATTTTGCAGGAATAATTCTAGCTCTTCATCCAAGTCAATTATATTTTCCTCTTTGTTTCCCTGACTATTTCCTAATTTACTACCGTTTAGTTTGTCCTTCATCAGTGCCCGGACGGCAGAGTATGCGTTAAGTGAATACCCTAACTTAGCCTTAGATTCATCAAACGCAATACGTGCATCGGCTAGATCACTTTTCTTCACCGCGGTGGGGTCGCGAATCTCAACATAGAGGGGGTAAGGATAATAACCTTTGCCAATCCGAACATAACGAGAGGCTTGAGTGGTGTCTGTACAACGCAGAAGACTTTCCCACCCATAATTGTTTGACATTGCTATACTCGGAACGGAAGCTTCGATCATGTTTAAATCTTCCTGCTTTGCATGTGCGTAGCTGTTGGAGGATGTGAAAATATGTGTGCTTCCCTGTTTCCGCTTTCCGTGGGCAGTCTGCGTGAGAAGTGACAGCCGTGTTTTTTCCCAAATTTTCTTTTGGAGTTCCCACTGCTTTAGGGCTTTAGTCTGAAGATGCCGCTCATCATAGATATCACTACCTTTTGCTTTGTCATGGCTCTGTGCCATAGTGTTGAGTTTCCTTTTTAGTATTTCCTTTCTTTTATTCACCGAATTTCAGGTTTAACACTTTTTCTGTTTTGAGGTATTGTCACTTTACGTTTCCTATATAATTTTTGATTAGAAAAATTTTATAAGGCATATACAGGTACACTTACACGTTGTAGTCAGCCGCCACCTCCCCTGCACAAAAAATGACAATCAATGAGAGTAGGATCAAAAGAAAGAGGAGTACCGAGAAAGTAAAAAAATGTAACCAGAGTTATACCAAATTAATTTAGGAGGGTAAAATACATGTACGAATATATTGGCATATAGAGTTCATTTTTCGCTTTGCTGTGCCGAATCCAAGGCTCGTCCAAGGCATTCGGTGCAAATCTCATACATGCACAAGGAGTACTTTGAAATCACGTTGTGCATGCTATATGCCACTAATACATTTAATATTTCTAGAAGCAAGACTGAGCGGAGGTATATCCTGTACGTGCCAAATTTTAAACATAAATGGATTTAATGAACTGCATATTGCTTCGAATGACAGCCCTAAATTTTCCACCAGTATGGTGTTTAAATGATTATACGTTTTCAAGGAACTCTAGATCATTGAAGAAACTTTCGAAGGTCGGTAGACGAGGACATAAGACCAACAGCACTTGGCCATCGGTGCCTGAGAATTTTGTCTTTCATTTTACTATAGACTAGGTGCTACAATTAAACAGGGCTGTGAACGCATGTAGTACCGTACATTACACGTATAAGTATCCTTTTCTTTCTGATCTAATTTTAGGATAGAATTAAAGCAGGAGTAGTTTTTGTTAGAGTAGTGCAATCAAAGATAAAAACGATGGAATTCGTGATTATATATATATCTCTCTTTAGAGACAGGTATATACAAAATAAGTTTATAGACTATAAAGTATCCCATTTATTGGTAATGCAAACCGAAAACTAATGCACACTCCTTCTATCGCTAGAAGACTGTGTATTAAACGCATTTAGAGGTATTATTTAGATTTTCTTAAAGTTTATTAGCTTCTCACGATGCCATATTTTTGTATATCAGAATGAAAGGGGATAGGGCGTGTTCATGCATAGACTATATGCTCAGAGAAAAAAGCCTTGACCTTTTTTCGTTTTGCATTTGAGACCGCCTTGCCCTACTTTACACGTACCTTTCTTGACATTATTCTTGTGACAGCCGGCTTCAGGGATTTTCAATTACAAGAGACGCTTAAGTGCTGCATTAGAGGGAGCACCATCCTCCTTTGTATTATTACTTTGACTTCTGCTGCCTCTTTCTTGAGTCCCTGATTCTATTCGAACGTGTCGGATTTTCCTTTGTTGCTTTCCACTCTGTATTTGCATTAGTTCTCGTACATCGTCCGCGGATTCGGCTTCCTTCCGCCGTCGTTTCTCTTGTTGCTTCCGCTTTCTGGTCTCCTCCTCAAGCGCCTCCACCTCATCCTTATCCAGGTCATCTTTATCGTACTTGCCGATCCGTTCCTCACGCATGCGTTGCGTGCGCTTTTGCTGCACCAGCCGAGACTGCCGCATCGTCTGCTTGCTGCGCACCTTATCCGTACTATCCTTCTTATCCCACCGCAGCATCTTTCGCTCTTTCGCCTTTTCTTGTTTCGTCTTCAGCGCCCGCGTCACGGGCTTCTCCTTATAGCCGATCTCCTCATCAACTTCCTCCTCATTGCCGACAAGAAGCCCGGTTGGGGCGTGGTCCGCCGCCTGTCGATCCACCCGACGCTGCTTCTTTTCCCGGATCGCCTTGGCCTTGCGGTTGAGTCGAACGTTTTCGGTGTACTCCGCAAGGCGAACCTCATCAACGCCGGGGATCTGCACATCCATCGATATGGTGTCTGGCGGGAGCTTATCTAACAAATTGGTCACAACGCGTTCCTTGCGGTGACGCTCCGTTTCGTGCGGGTTTGCGTAGAAGAAGTCAGGATTGGGCTCCCCTGAGCCTGGAATTAGCAGCGAGGTGAAGCCTTTGGTGTGCCCCACACCGAGGACATCCTCGAAGGGGCAGAACTTTACGTGATGCGCAATCTTTCCGTAGCCGAGGCCGAACTTCATATACGGGGCATTCGGCTTTTTCGATGTGAACATGTCACGCCAGATTTGGATGTTGGTGCCTCCGCCCAGCGCCACGAGGCCTTTCGCGGAGATGTCCATCGTATGGAAGTCGTAGGTGATGGCGTACTCCTCCAGCGCGCGAAGGGTTCGGCAGTCCCACACCTTCAGCTTGTGATCCCCCCCGAGGGTCAAGAAGAAGCGTCCGTTAGGGTGGAAGGCGATGTCATCCACGACGCCTTTGTGGGCTTTAAGCTGCACAAGTGGGTCGAGAACGGTGGGGGACCAAAATTTCAAGACCCCACGCAGATCACAGGAGGCCACGACGCCATTGCCGGGATTTACCGCCAGGCAAGAGGCTGGATCCCTCATGATGGCGGGGGTTTTGGTGCCCAACTCAACCCCGGTACTGATGTCGAGGTATTGCATGACGCTGAAGACGGACGAGGTCGCCACAAGCAGCATGTGCTTGGGCAAATAGCCTAGTCGGTCCATGTGGGCGAACTTTGAGAGAATATGCATCTCGGTTCCCTCTTTGGTGTACATGTAGACGTACCGTTTTTGCGCTACGGCGGTCATCGTGTGGTCCACTAAGAAAGTCGCATCGTTGAGTTTGTCTTTGAGTTGAGTCTCTCCCTCAAGCTGAAAAGACTTCCAGCGAATGTTTGCGAGGTGCCCACGTAGCCCGGCTAGTAGTAAGTGTGTGCCGTTCGTCGTGAAGTTGATTTTATAAGGTCCTAGCTTGTCAAGCAGGAGTTCATATTTTTTGTGCTGGGTCTGGATGTCTACGGCCTGCTGAATATCATCCTGGGTGATGCGATCCGCGACTTCTCGTTCATCCAACTCCAAGCCCGTGTCGTCCGACTCCCACCGCTGATAGAGGCTGGCATGCGCAAGTTTTTTTGAGGCCTGGCGGTTTAAATGCTCGCGTCGCCGTGTTTCATTATTGCGCATGGCATTTTTATCCGTCACGTGGCGGCCTTGGACATGGATGCGCTCCTCATCGTGGATGGCGACCTCAAGCTCATGACGACGCCGAGCCATGAGTTCGCGGGTCTCTTTCGAGACGCCGCTACTGCTGCGAGTGGGTTCGGCTTGGTCTAGGAGCATTATCTTCTTGTTTGTTGGGTGCAATCAAATATGTTGTCTTTATTCGGATTTTGGTACCTTTCTTTATGTTATGCACTTTTTTTTTTGATAATTCCACTGGTCAAAATGTGTGAGACTCTTAAAAGGAAGTAATACACACACAGGCTAGGTACAGCAATAAGTATTCGATAAGTAGAAACTATCTAAATAAGAAAAAAGTTTAGATATGGGAACTTTCCATTAACTCAAATAACGGAAAGTTTGTACTCAGACATAAGCTTCCTCAGGTTGTGTAGTAACACATTAACATTTTTTTTTTTGAGAAGATGCAAAGCAGATCAATTAATTTTTATACAAACAACTTGTGAATATGCATATTCACAAAAGAACTGCATGTATGCAAGAATCGGGAGTGTGAGGAAGATTAATCAATGCAAAAAAAATAAAGAGGGATAGCATTTCATTTCCCTCTTGGATAGAATAATCGTGTCTTTTTTTATTTTAAGAAATAGACAGAATCATTCTATGTGTATTTGCACCTATTTTTTCATTCCGCATTGATTGTCTTTCCCTAGGGTTCATGCATGTCCTCACGCATCTTTATGAACCGCATCTTCTCTGCGTCATTTAGAAGCCTCAGCATACCAGATTGCTTTACCTCCTTAATACGATTGAGTGGTATTAACAACAAACTGCTTGTTTCTTTCAAAATCTGGAAAAGCGTGTCTACGAGGGCGCTGCTTGGTCCAGGAATGCTGATCAATGGTGACATTGCTTCTTTGTAGGCGGTCATATCTTGCTTGTACACCAACGCCCCACGGTTATTCACAGCGAAAGACTTTACATGAGCTGAGATACCGCGATACAAACACACACCAACAGTGCGCACAAAAGAGGAAGGTTCACCACCACCATAGAGAAGCTGCGGAAGATTCATTGCTTGTATTTGTGCGCGAAAAGCATTAATACCGTTATTCGGGGCCGAGGACATACCCATATTCGCTATAAAGGAAAGCGGTTCTTCATTGGGTTGGGTGCCTTCTTCGCAACGCATCCGACCCATGACAGTTTCTCGTTGTGCGATCTGCACATCCGAATTTCGAATGAATTCCTTCGCTATTTCGAACTGACGCGTGATGTAGTAGCAAAAAAGAGTGCAGGCCCGCGAGCACGGCGCCACTTCGATCTCCGAGGCGTCGTTCTTTCCGAAATGGAGCGGTTGGTAATCGACTCGGGTTTGATACTGAACGAGAATCGAAAGAGCGCGAATGATAATCGCCTGTGCACACATATTCAAGAGCTTTTCGGCATGCTCGTCCAGAACCTCAAGGGCGTCGCGCCAAGCCTCATCGACGTCTTGTGAGAGGCGTGGGTGGGTCTCGAGGAGGGGAGCGATCATCGCCGAGGTCGCACCCCACAATTGCATTAGCGATGACTGCGCAAAAAGTAGCATGCGAAAGCCGCACTGCTGAGATTCGGCCCTTTGGGGGTTGAGCAGATCCTCTTCATTTTTTGGTTTCTGACGCCAGCTCTCGCGGTCCGCTCGCATCGCATCAAGCGTTTTACTGAGCACCTCGTCAAGGGAGGCACCAATTTTGGTGAATGCCGCTTGAATCAGGGCAAGCATATAAGGCGCGACGTCTTGGGGGAGGGTATAGATTTTCACCCGCGTCGCGACTTCGGTGAATCGATCGATCTGCTCTTTAGTTTTCGTCATATGCGCCACGCGGACATCATAGCACTGAGCGGGCACGATGAGCAGCTGTCGTGTGTATTTTTCCTCAATTAGCTTAAAATAGCGCTCCAGAAGAGAGAGCTCCGCTCGCGAGCTACAGTAGTTGGAGCGTTTCACAAAGATCGTTTTCCCTAAGCGGTCCAAAAAATCCACCTCGATCTCGGTGAAGCTCGTTTTGAGATCCCTGACGTATTGTTGATAGAGGAGAAAAAGAGAAACCTTGACAGTGTGGTAGTAGGCGATCGCGTCTGCCACAACATTTGAAAATTTTCGCTTGCTGCGTGGTGAAAGGCTTGCGTCGGTGTCAAGTACCGAGATCTGGAACGTCTCTGCGAGTTTAATCTGTTGCTCCACAAAAGGTTTCACAACTCCCTCGGTTACTTCAGTGAGAAGCTGATGCCGCACCGTGCCGATGGTGCCAAAAATCGTCTCCACCACAATCACATCGCGTTGTACCTCTTTCGCGAGAAACGAAAAAGCCTTCTCGAGACCTTTTTCCATGTGCTCTGAAAAGTGAACCATCGCGCTCACCGGTGCAGAGCCTGACGATCGCATTGTCGGATTGGGAAGTGGGGTCGGGTTGTATTCGCTAAATAACCCTAGAGCCAGATCATTAATGGTCCTCGAGAATAACACCTTGAGCATGGCATCGTTCGATGGGGTGATGGCAGAATATAATCGCGAGATGAGCTCCATCGTCTTAAGCAGCGCAGAAGTGTAGAGCCGATGCTTAGTTTCCTGAGGATCACTATTATAGAAGTTCTTGAAGCAGCCAACAACATGAAAGAGATCCGCGACAAGCTCTTCGCGCAGCCAGGACACATAGATCTCAATATTTTCCGTATTACTAACTAAGTTGCCGATCTCTGAGGACAAGGAGAGAAGTTTTTGACCCCACTCCGCCTGTACCTCTGTGTAGCTTCGGGCGGCAAGCACGCGGTCTAACCCGGATGCCACTGCCGCGGCCTCAACACGATCCAGCTTGACGTCCGCCAGCTCCACACCAGATTGGTTTATCATTTCATTGTCCTCGGGGCCGTGGCGTTTAGGGTCATCGACCTCGCCATTTCTATGATGTGAGTTGGCCTTCGCCGCGTTGCCAGGTGAATCGCCGGCTTTGAGGAGCCCATTGGGGTGAGCTGATTGCGGATCCCCCTCGATGGCGGCGCTCGAGGTTGTGAAGTAGCGCGGGTTGGATGAGGAGACGTCGCCGGACTCCCAGCGCCGCGTAATCGCCGCGCGCTGGGTGAGACGCGTCTTGGACAGCGCCTTCAGCAGGCCGGTGAGCTTCTCCGTCTCGATCCCGGTGAGGTTTTTGAAGTACCGCAAGAGCTGCCCCACCGCTTTCCCGCGCTGCACTCGCGCGTTGGACTGGGAAAGGTGCTCCTCGATCCCCTCCGCGGCGGCCTGGGCGTTCGCGACGCGGTTGCCGTACGCATACAGGCGGGCCGTGGTGCCCTCGAGCCCCATCCGCACGCTCCCCAGCCGCTGCCGTTCCTGCGCCTTCACCCGTTTGCACTGGGCCTCCAGCACCCCGAGCTGCGCACGCTCCTCCCCGAGGAAGGTCTCGACCTCCTCGGCGGCGTAGCCCAGGACGGCGGAGAGCTGCTGCGCGGTCTCGCGATAGTCCACATTTTCGCCCTCCGTGCCGTACTGCTGGCGGAAGCCGGGGGCGATGTGAGGGCTACTGAAGAGGTCGGATCCATCACTCGCGCGGAGCCGCGGTGGGGGAGGGGGGGATGAGGCCGGGTTGACATCTTCGTACCGGTCCAGCCGCAGCGCCGCGCTCCGTTGGTGTTTCTGAAGTATCTTGAACAGAACCACGTTCGTGATGTTGTTCACAAACCTTGCGGGGGAGAAGCTTTCGGAGCTGAAAACCGCACGGTCTAGGCTAAGGATGGGAGGCGGTTGCGATTCCGTCTTTGAGTCGTCATTTTCATCCGAGGTCGTGCTAGTAGGTGTGGAAGCGGTGGGGGATGTTAACGACAAGGTTTCGGGTGTGGCACTGTCGCGTAGATGGGGCCCTAAAGGAAGTGTCGGAATATTAGGAGGCTTGGGTTGCGCTAATCTATTTTTTGTAGGTGTGACGCGTTTGTCAGAAGGATCGTTGATAGGTTTTTCGATCGATATCGCTGGGCATGGCGTCTGTTGAATAATATGTTTTGTGCTTGGTGGAGGATGTAACATCCTATATTAACCAATCATTCGAATACTAGATATTAGGGTTACTTAACGAGCTAGAAGCAGTAAACTAAGAGTATAAATATCAAAAATATTCTTTTTTTTTGACAATGCTATTTTAGATTCTAAATAATCTATCAATCAGCACAATGGGTTGATATTTTCCAAATACAACACATTTACTGAAGCCTTTGTTGACGAAGTGCGGATAGTGTAAAAAGAAATAGATTCATTGTTGCATATTTAGTTCTGCAGATTATCACCACCTCATTCTTCTTGTTTGCATATTTACGCAATAAAGCTCATTTTCATTATCCAAGACCAAACTTTTTACTTATTTGTATCGCTAAACTAAAAAAAAAGGGCCCATCTCACCGATAATAACCTTGAGATATTTTTTGCTCATATTTCTTCCATCCCTCGAGACGAAATTCAGCCTTTGTTTAAAATTTAGGATAATTAAAATAAATTCTCTACTGCAACAACCATCTTTCGTTATATTTTCTTTTTTTTAGATTTCTCCAGAAGTTTAAGTATGTTTTCGTCGCGTTTGACATTTTCAAAGTACGGCGAATTCGTTTTCGTCCTCTTTCTTCGGATAATGAAAAAATACATCCAATTCCACATCATAACCCCAAAAATAAAGGTTACAAACCAAACCATTTGTCCCATAAGAACTGTATTGTAATATAGTCCATCGAAGTTTGTCATGGCACCTGTGATCGCTTTCTTCAGTATTCCCCAACACGCGCCCCAATTCCTTTCAAACGCAAACACATATAATCCTTGTACCTCGGTGATGAAGTCCGATGGGAAGACCATGGCATATGGGTAGTAGAAGATAAAGAGACGAATCCAGACGTGGTAGATGAGGTCCGGTATAAAAACCCCGATCATAAGAACTGGGAATAGAAGGGCAACTACCAAACCGATGAATGCTACAAGTGCCAAAGGCACACAGGCATACGCAAGCCCTTTTAATATCTTCACAATAAATTCAGATGTGGGCACAGTCTTTGGCTTACCTGAGATCTTGGTTAATAACCCTGGTCTTGGATGGGCTTCATTGAATAATTTGACGGCCTTTTTGTAGTACACATCGGAGAAGCCTTGAAAATCTTTTACGATAGGAATATATGAATCAACCGTGTAGTTCCATACACCTTTCATAGTTAGGTAAAATGTCTGTGTGTGCGCCATGACCGACCGAAATATGTAAAGAGCCACATCATATGCACTATTTAGGCTAGTGCTCTCTTCTGGAAGCCCCATACGATCCTTGACCTCGGTGACACAAGTCTTTGGTAGGCTTGCGCCGAATAGCCTCAGTGTCTCCGCATCAAACGCGTTGAGGGCTTGCTTTGACGCATTTAGGCGCTGTTCAGCACTTGGCACATTTTGAGGTTTGTGCAGACGAGCGAAGTTAACCTTCTTTCGTGCCTGAGAGACGGCGTTCTTGACACTTTTGCTGTCATCATGAATTCGCTTGAGGTAGTCCGAGACAGCCTGAGCGCATCCCCCTTTGAGTAAAGACGCGCGCCACTGGATGGTGGAAGGACCTTCAACTATATTGAGGGAAGATCCCGAAGGTTGTTTCTGAGTCGGCTTTTTGGCGGGTGAAGGCGCACTCGCGTTTTTTCGGTTTGGATCGTGGGGATTTGTGTATGCATTTGTGTCGACTCCATCTCTATTGGTCTCGGCCTGAGGTTCATTGTCAGTTTGCACTTCTTGGGCGTAGGCCTGGAGAGGGAGTGAGTTATTTAACAAAGACAGTATTAGTACTACAAATACCAAAGATAGCAAAGACACGCGTGAGCGGTGTTGAGGAAATCCTTCCATAGTAACGGACAGCTTACTTGTAGCTTTTATATGATATCACTTCTTTGTTACCCTAAGTTGCACAAGGATTCCTTTGATATATATTCCTTATACTTAATAGAAAAACGCAATTGTATATGTTAATGTGAATTCTGAATACCTTTTAATGATAACTTAGAACAATGCAAAAACTCATTTCCGTTTGTTAGGTTAAAATAATAATTGTAGGAGTAGCAGTTAAATAAAAGAAATACACAAAGGAAGTTTATACCTATGGAAGGAAAAGATGCTTCCCCCTCCCCTCCTACACGTATACCAAAACAACAACATGGAGAAGTATGAATAGAGCAATCAGACAGAGGAAAATTGTTTTGGCTTTGATACTTTTTTTGTTTCTACCTTTTTTTCAATGCCGCAGTGAGATGGTTGAGTATTTTTTATCAGAGCTTGTCATATTCTTTCCTAACTTCCCGGCTCGATATGCAGCATTAATAATAGAAATAAACTCATCGGCATCTTCGAAGGCAAAAAAGTTAATTTTGTTGTAATTACCAGTGCCTACATCTACACGAATATGCGCATTCCTAAAGAAAAACATCACTGCAAATGGATCCCGATCGTGCCCGAGCTCATACATCTGGTTGAACTCGGGGACCTTATTCGTATCTACAGCGTAGATAGTGCAGTACTTGCGAACTTTAGGGCTAATTTCCACAAGCAATGCATCCATCTGATGGGTAAAAAGATAGTGCTCCATACCAGCCACAACGTTAGACTTTTGATGCATCTCTACCTGCGTGCTATCGTTACTTCCATCGAGACGTTGCCTCTGACGCTTGGCCTGATCACCCGTATCTTCTCGGCTCCTCTTTTCGCCCTTGATCCGGCTTGTCAGAACGGCCAAAGATGCATCAAGAGTTTCGTCTGGCGGATTTTCATAGCTACTAAAACGAATGAGCACCAACTTATCAGCTGAGTCCAATACTATGTGCCGATCCACATCCCATGGTGTATATAAGTGCTTCAGTTCGGCCATCACTCCAGGTCTGAAGTTTATTGGTTAAATTATTTTAAATAAGAATCTATTTAAAGAAAGGATAAAGTTAAACGGCGCCACTCAGATATTTTATTCGTTATGGAAACGTGGCTGAACCCCTCTTAACTATGTGAGGACACAATCCTCCGTAATTCTAAGATAAAATAATAGTATATGCAAATACGGTACAAGAAAAGATGCATAATTTACATGTAGGAAAAGGAAGAAGCTAACATAAAGGCGCAAGAGAAGACATACACTCAATGTATCGGTTAGCTTACTTTTGCAATTTATTGATTTCCTTTAATAAATATGCACGATTTCTACATGAAAAGTAATATGTAGGGATACCTGAATAGTTGTTTCTTATCGTCTTACGGACAACATACCGATGATGTTCTTCATTTGTATGCCTGATGCATTAATCATTAAGGTATAACACTTCACCGCTTCCACCACCTGAACCAACCATGATCGTTTCATATGCTCCAGCATCATCTCCTTGTGTTTATTGTTAATTACAAAACACATAAACTTATCCAGAGAATCAACTTTAGGAGTCCCAACGCCAATTTGTGCAGAATGATTATTCTCCCCTCTAAACCGCGAACCGATTATACTCAAACACCCCCTGTTTCGCATCGATAAAATAGATCTTTGCGCTATGACAGTGGTGTGTGTGGGGGGGGTGCTGCCTGTAGGATGTCGCATACAGTATGCCAAAACACACACCACGGCGCCGACCTCACACACCTGCCGAGACGGCGCATCAAATTCAACGGGGCGGTAAAACCGCATCGCAGCGTGACCGTGCGTGCCGCCACCCCCACCGTTGGGTCTATCAGGGGCTAGTGGATCCGCCACGGCAGACTTTGTGGGTTCCGCCTCTACTTCCGCAGGTCATCAACCCAGACTGAGCACACGCGCACCCTGGACAAGATCGCCCGCCGTAGGGTGTGACTCAGGAATCCTTACCTTTTCCCGTGTCACCGTTGTAACACGACGGGGCTCCTCAGGCGAGAACAGCACCCTTCCACCAGACGCTGGGGATAGCCTTGGGCGCCGCCCGAGAGGAGCCGGACCTTCGTCGCACCGGTCCGAAGTTCCCTCACATGGCTCTATCGTAGCTACACAAAGAGAGCAAGATGAGAACGCTGAGGAACCCTCCGTCGTTGAAGATGCGTGTTTAGATTTCTTTTGGCACGACTACCGTTGTCTCGGGATAGTCGTCAACACCTTGAAAGGAATCTTGCCGCGGCGCCACCTTCTTTGTGGATCGCTGGTGATATCAGAAACGGGCTGGGCGTCGCGTCGATTACTAACACATGTGATTTTTAGCCACTTGAAGTTCCTGCTGGGGCATCCGTCCTTTGAAGACTGAAGCATGTTAAAGTGGAGGCACCCCAGAGAGTGAACACGCGCTTGAAAGGGTGAAATGGATTAAATGCGTGGGAGCTGTGTCTTTGTCTGTAATCCATAAACCATCTTTGCCACATATGAAGTCTTGAAAAGCGAAATATAGTCTATGTAACTGTGGATCTATTTCTTCATAATTTCCCTATCCCCACTTTTTTGAATTTGAGGCATAATTGCTACGCTATTTAACAATATGTTTTTTATTGTTGCCGATAATGACTGTTCAAATTTCAACACATTTGCACTGTATTTATTGATCTGGAGTGTGCCTATACGCAAAGGAGAAAGGAATTGAAACTGTTGACCTTCAGAACTCTTTGGGTTTCCTTTATGTGTTTCTGATAAACTATTTCTAAAGCAAAATAAAAGTAAAGTAACAGTGTGTTCAAGGAGAAATACAAGGACATATAGAAAAGCAATGAGAAATATGATGCAAAGATATTCTACACCATACCATTCCACACTTTTTTTATTTGGATGAGTTTGGCACTTTGTTTTTCAAGTTATAAATGAAGGAATAACTTCACAAACCTGTAGATTGGAATATACGCACACTACAAAATCGTGGATAGAACTTTAAGAAGTTCATGTTTTTTCTTCTGATTCTTTAATCATCTATATTATATCTATGGTATTAACTACAAGAATAGGTATCTTTCAAAGAAATATTTTCCATGCTGCATTATTTATTGCTATCCAATACTTTCTTCTTATTTTTCCTTAGCGCTTCAAGAAGTATTTTTTTCTAATACAACAACAACAAATACCCGAAAAAAGAGTAATACCCAATCGTGATTTAAATGATCACTCTCTATACAAATCTATTTGAATATATATATATATATATACCCATCTATCTATAAAACGGATATTCTTCCTTGACTTAACATAAATTTTATAAAGTCAAGCTTCACTACACATATAACAAAATAATATATTAAAAAAATGAAATAGATGATATTAAAGCGAAAGTGTAATGATAATGCAAAATTACTAAAAATAAAGTTTCGTCAACGTATCTTAGGAGAGGAGGGGACACAAGACAACTCATTTCATTTTATTGCGTATTTATAATGTATCATCAATATATCATTCATAGAAGCCGTATGAAATCGAGCCCAACGAATTCTATCACCTCCACCCCCTCCAGACATGAAAAAAAGTTTAACACCACGTACCTCATCATTTCAAACCGTAAGCTTTATCTTTTTTGTGGGTGTTCGAAAGATTCTTCTACACGCCACTACAACTTTAAGATTAAGGGGACACTTTTTTTAGTCTCCCGTGTGACTTATTTTCGTTTCCGGCAATGCCGGCCCGAGATAAGGAATTCTTCATGGCGACCTGCGTCACAATTCGGTCCCTTTTCTGGGCTTCAAGCTGGAGGGCCTCCCGCATAGGCACCTCCAACCGTCCAATGCGCTGATACGACCGCCACCAGCCTTCGTCCCCGCCAAGTTTGCTGATATCGAAGGAGGCCCAACGTTGGTCGCACTCGCCTTGGCGGTACTTTATCGGGCAGTGCTGGCTGGCCTCCCGCCAGGCGTCCAACATTTCCACCATCGCCGGCCTCTCCAGCGTCGCGGCGTCGCGGAAGTGGTAGGCGATGCGAAAGGCGCACAGCCCCAGTCCGATCCACGCTCGCCACTCCCCGACTTCCCGCTCAGTCGCCTGGCGAAGCCAGCGCGCGGCCGTCTCCACTGCCTCCCGCTCCGTCCGCGGGAGCAAAACTCTGAGTGGGATGTCCCCCTC